AAAAATATATATATATATATATATATATATATATATATATATATATATATATATATATATATATATAATTTTGTCAAAATTTCAATATCATGTAACTCAACAAGTAAATTAGTTTTGATTATAAATTGTTATAAATTATAATATTGTTATAAAGAATTAGTTTTCATTATAAATAATTATATAGAATACTTCAAAATTATGGTGTTTTAAATATTTTTTTCAGTTTGTGGTTAAAAAGTATAAATTGTATTGCAAATAGTTTTTTTCCGCGTAATTTCGTGTGATTTTACAAAATTATAGTTCTGATAAATTCAACGTAGAATAATACGCAATTACGTCTTAGAAAGAAAAAATGCGTTTTTTATAAATTATTTTACCTATATCCATTAAACAGCCGATTGGTGCTGTATCTTTTGTATCGTTGATGCGATACATCCTAAAGCACGAGATTTCATTGTTTAATTTATTAATGCATTCTGGGCATGCTGGATTATTCATGAGAATATTTTTAGTCGTGGAATTTTCGTCAATGATCTTCAGCCTGCAAGATAATAAGTAATTCACAGGTGATTTATAGATGAATCATTTTAGATATTATTAATAACATCAAAGTGATTTTTATATAATGCATTGATTTAATATTTATATTATATATTTCGTAACATGCTAATGACTAAATCTACTTGTTACTGTTTCTCTCTCTTTCTCTTTTTCTCTATTATCATGATTATTATTACATATTTTTCATATAAATAACAATCATAAAAGGATATTTTGATTTGTTTTATATGCTTACGTCTGAGAGCGATTTTCGTTATTATCTAAGATTAAGATGCATATAGCGTAATCATCGCAATATTTCCCGGTCCATCCGTAATGACACTTGCAGACTCCAGGTGCGACGCAAATGCCGTTGTTACACATTTTGCAGATGGGCTCACATCCGCCTTCTTTTGTATTTTGGTAACCCCAGACGCACTTGCATAGATTTGGCGCAATGCACGTACCGTTACCACAGTCGCCTTTGCAGGTCGGTACACATTTAGACAATAATATGTTCTGGCGGTTATACTTTACGTGATAGTTTTCCTTGCAAGTGCAGGCGTTGGGCGCTATGCAGATTTCATTTGTCCTGCAGGCCGGGTTGCAGATAGGTTCACACTCATTCGTGGAGTTCGTCGATAGACGGTAACCTACACTACACTTACACACGTTGGGCTTACTACAGATACCGTTTATGCAACTCGGCTCGCAAATGGCTTCGCAGAGATTTTCATGTAACCTGCAAGTATTTCGGTGTGCTCAACATCCATTGACGTAATGAATAGTTTCGCAAAAAAACACTCATACATACATGTCCTTAAAAGATACAAAATATTTTAAACGATATCCTTCATTGCACGGACAAGGATTTTTTTTGTCCATGCAAATGCCTTTAATGCATCCCGTACCGCAAGTCGGTTCGCATGTCCATTTAGGAATAAAGTGTGACATACCCTAGAAAATAGTATTTTTCAACTAAACATATGAAGAAATATAAGATATAACGAATAAAATACAAATAATTAGAATATAATTAGAAAGGTAAATTAGGATATACGGGACATTTCTCAAAATAATATTATTATAAAAATTGACGTGCACTAATTACGAATTATCATCACGAATTATAGACATGAATTTTTCTGCTCTTTAATACTTAGGGGAAAATATACACCGGCTGTGGCCGAACATAGCCGGCACTTGTTACGACTCTTACCATTTTTTAATATTCTTGCTCAAATACTAAGATGTATGGAGATTTATTAATAATTTAATTAATTGTCTACAATTATTATTTATTATTTATTTGTTTCTTTTCTTTTAAATAACACAATAACTTTAATATTTAATAATATCTGCGCAAGAGTGCCGAAAACAGACAGGCCGGCTACTGGGTCGGGGTATGTTTTCTCCTATTTAGTACAAGTATTCAATATTAAATCTGATTGACACAACCAGATTGATGTGTTGTCCAGACCAATACTGTTTTTCCATATATTTAATGTTGTCCCTAACGTTATGATCTATAAATTATAATTAGACTCAAAAGTAGCTACGTTTGACACCAAAAGAGATTAATTAGATCTTGCAAACTTAATAGCTTGCGTCGTGTTACTTACGTTACTAATGATTTCGGTAGTTTTCTTGTTAAGTCTATATCCCATGGGACACTCGCATTTATGCGGGTATATGCATGTGCCGTTTCCGCAAGGCGGCTCGCAAATTGGTTCGCACATAGAATTATTTGTCTCTCTATATCCGTCGCAACATACTTTTGTTCTGTATGTTACTGTGTAATACTAAAAATAGGGATAAAATATCTCGTATTAAGAATATTGTCATATGCACGGTTAAATTAAAGAGAATGAAAACATTTTCTATTTATATGTTATACGTTTACTTAGTATATCACCCATGTTTAGATGTATCATTTGATTTCATAGTAAATCTTACCTCAGTCTTAAAATTCCATTGAGGTTTGTTTCTATGATATATGCTTGTTATGTTATTTTTATACGTTTCTAAATACGGGACTTTTTTGGATTCTTGGTGACTATAAAAAACACATAATTTTCCGGGAAAAAATAATTATATATAATTATATATAAATTATATGTGAATTTTGTCGATATATATATATATATATATATATATATATATATATAGAGTTTTTATAATTTGAAAAGTATTATAGCCTTGAAATTTTTATTAGGATTAAGATTAGCATTAGGATTTTTTTCTTCAAATTACCTCAGGAATCCGTCCTTAAGAGATAATGCGGTAGTGGCGAGACACTCTGTGTGTATATATATATGTAATCACGTACATAATCGTATATGTGCACACGGAAAACAACGATATTAAATGAAAAAGAGAAGAAATAGTTTCATTAAACGCTGATATCATATGCTGCCAAAAGCATAAATATTTACTTCGATTATATTTATACAACAGTATTTTTTTTTATTGTAGACATATATGATTATGCATGATTATATATGGCTATATAAAAACAAAATTCAAGTACGATTCTTTTTCCCGAGTTTACGTTAGCATCTTCATGTACATCTCATCGGTTATATTGCACGATTAACGCATTTTGCTATTTTCATTTGTAGAATATTACATGTTTATATCTATTTAATTGTCTTACCTGACGATTTTATTGCACAATTTCTCTTTCCAAGTCACAAACTTGTGTTGGTCTGGATGAGTATGTACGGTTTGTAGAATGCCGGAAATACATATACATATAACACACCAGAACTTCATAATGATTAACTGTATAAGATGTGTTTTAAGTAGCCGCGATAACAGACGAGCGATTAATGCGTTAGAGTCCAACGTACGTCGCGTTGTCAACTAAACTGGCGTCTCCTTCGTTCTTTACCATGATCACGTTAACTCTTTATCAGAACTCAACAGGAAGTTAGCTGTCGTCAGATAGTAAGACTAAAATTCATATAAGAATTTGTACTTATATATGTACTTTTATTTGTACTTATATACATATACTCGTTTGCCCAACGATATTAGTTACGAGCGAAATAAGCCATGTTGCATGCAATTACATATGAAATTCACAGATATTTTCATATATTTTTTATGACAGCAGACTGTTTTATATATGTGATTTAATTCACGACTAATGAATTTTTCTACTGCTAGAGTTCTGCATATCTGGTATTTTGTTTGGTTTAGAAAAATTAACGTTTGTGTAATTATTTCATAATAACAGCAGAAACAATTACATATAAAATTCATAAATATTTTCATTTTTATGACAGCAGACTGTTTTATATATGTGATTTACTTCACGACTAATGTATTTTTTTGCTGTTAGAGTTCTGCATATTTGGTATTTTGTTTGGTCTAGAAAAATTAACGTTTGTGTAATCATTTCATAATGACAGCAAAAACATCAATGATTATGACACAGAGAAAATATACTCTGTACATCTTACATCTGTTTTATCAGTTGTCATACTTCTTAAAAATTATATATATATCAGATCACATGGCACCAAGTAGAGGAAGCGTACATAATAATCGTTTTATAATATATTATCATGTTTGCGGGTACAATTCAACATTGATTACAATGCCTGAAATTATTCATGGTCTTGTCAAACTTATCAATTCGCTTGGTACTCAATATTCAACTTAATATTCAACAAAAGAAGCGTTTACTCCACTGGGACGCACCTCTGACGGCCCTTGACCCCGGACTCCTTCCGATATCCGAGATTGCAAATGCAATAATTCGGCATGGTGCACACACCGTTCGGGCACCCGCCGAAGCACACCGGCAAGCATATAGAGCGCGTGGGGTCTCTAATGTCGAGCGTGTATCCGCGGTTACAAGTACACTGATTCGGTCCGGTGCATTGACCGTTCAAGCAATGATGCGAGCAAACCACATCTGTATCTTCCCCCTCATAACGGACGCATCTACCGCTATTGGGATCGTTGAAGAAACCCGAGTCGCAGACGCACACGTTCGGTGCGGCGCACCGGGCGTTCGGGCCGCAGTCGTGTCTGCAGTATGAGGTCGAGTTGGAGGTCGTGATGGGGACGCATCTACCGGTATCGGGATCGTTGCTGTATCCTGGCTGGCAGGAACAGCGATTGTGCCCGACGCAAACGCCGTGCGTACCGCAGCCGTATCTGCAGTCGCCGGATTGCGACGGGTTGGTCGGCGGTATAGGGATGCATCTGCCGCTGGAGGGATCGAGCACATATCCGTAATCACATTGCGATGCGCCCGGTATGGTCGATGTGCACACACCGCTCCGGCTCAGCGTATAGCCCGGCCTGCACTGGCATCGTCCGGGCGAGACACAATCACCGCCGACGCAACCACCTGGACAGTCTGGCACGCAATTGCCGTAGTAGTCGTTCTTGTAGCCTGGCCTGCACATGCCTGAGTCCGGTGCGTCGCACACGCCGTCAGTACAGTTCCTCGAGTGTACGGGATTGCATCTGCCGTGAGAGTCTGGGTCGTGGCCCGACGCGCACTTGCATTGACCGGGAGCGATACAATTGCCGCCGATGCAACCACCTGGGCAATGAGGAACGCAGGACTCGTAGTCGTTGGTAGGATTCGAGTACCTGCGACAGAATCATGCCGATGGTTACGCTCACGTCGTGACTGCACTTTTGGACTTTGATCCGATGTGGTCAATAAGAAACGTTTATGGCGAGTCATAAACTCGGTATTATAAAATTTTCACACGAAGCAGGAATACGAGAAGTTGGCGAGATGGAAGGACTCCGTCTAAAAAATCGTAGATTGAAATATGAGGTGACAGCTGCGGAACACCCCTTTTACGAAACATTGCAGTATTTGCAATTTGATTATGCACGTGACGCACCGAAGGTGGTCCCATCCATATTCCAGTCTGAATAATATTAACCACGCAAGTAACCACGTGAAGATTATAAAATATCTGATTTATACATAAAAAAAGCTGCGTGGGGCATAATTATCCTCGGCAATATCATGTTTCATGAATGTAATATCAATTTATCAATTATAGATATTATCATGCGTATACGCGCTTGAAGCAAAGTTCAACATATTACGCGGAATACCGTCGATGCAAGAGATATTGCGAAGTTAGAGGGGATCGTAGAACTCGAAAGTAGGATACGACATTAATTACCCTTCGTGACAGGTGCATACACCTGGCGCGGTGCACTCGCCGTGCGCGCAGCCGCCCTCGCATGCGGCCATGCACTCCTTGCGATCATTCAGAACGAATCCCGGTCTGCACCTGCAAACGCGCGGCGCCACGCATTCGCCGTTCCTGCATCCATTGGGACAGATCGGCTTGCACTCGCCGTTGATCTCGTCGTAGCCAAGTTTACACACGCACACCTCGGGAGAGAAGCAATAAGCGTTCTCTTGACACTGGTATGTGCAGACGGGCATGCAAACACCTTCCTCGGCACGCCATCCTTCTTGACAGCTGCAGATATTCGGTCCAGTGCAGTGGCCGCCGAAACAGCCGCGATCGCAATGTGGCTCACATCGACCGGTCGTCACGTTGCGCCGGTAGCCGTCGCAACAGTCCAAGATGGTGATCCAACCGCTGTTACTCTGATAAACAGGATTTTGCTGTAGTTTTATTACAGTCTGTATAGCGAGAACTGTTTGATATCGTAAGAGCACTTCACAGTTACATGAAACTGTTAGCACTGTTACATGAAACTCGGAAAGTATCTTCAAGATAGTGAGATCAAAGTGCGGGATTTCGTCTGATAAATTGTACATGCAGAAAAATGCTGCATTCTAAAGTCTTCTCTCTTAAAATATAGTCTAGCAAATCTGTTGTTCAGTTTCACCCGGGGAAACTTCAGAAGATGGATGTGTACTTACGGGTTGACTGCCTTCAGTTGGTTGGGGAATGGTATTATAAGGCGATCCACTGGAGTTCAGAGCTAAGACATGGCTATATCTAAAACAAGCGTGGAAATCTCATATCTACATTACTTTTCGAATGAATTTCATTATCGTGCTCGCACTTGTTTCAAGAATTCACTTCGAAGGATTGATCGTACGTAATTCGCAGAGTGGATTACTTACGGCACTGTCTTGTAGCAAAGACCATTTGTTGAATTAGTACCACTATGCTGACTTCCGCTCGTAGGGTAACGTGGTCGATGTCCACCCTTTACACCATCGATTGCCCAAGTACCAATACCCAGGCACGCAAAAACGAGCAGGCAGATCAACGACTTCTGCATGTTGTATGAACGATCGCGGATTTACTAATGGTTGCTGATTTTCGGTCAGAGACTGGACAACCCCGCGATAAGAACGCTGCAGAGAGGTCAGCAGTTTTCATCCTCTCATTTAAACTACGCAACACTCTCGTTCACAGAAACAGTTATCCGTTATGTGTATCGACACGTCGAAGAGCTTTAATGGGGTCGAGATGTCAGCATGTGTTTGTCTCTTTCGCGTATTCCGCCCGCGTGTCTCACACTTTTAGCCTTATCTAATTACTCATTAGGTCATTGTTATTAATTGGACCATGATAGACTTATTACCATGCACATGGCATCTCTTTTAAACGAATAAATATATTATCAATTAAATGTAAACGAAGTAAAACAAAATGAAAGACAATGTATCGCAACGAAAAAAAGAAATTTTGTCCTACTAATACCAGAGAAAAATAGACATTTTCTTCAAAATAAATCATAAATCATACTCCTTTAAAAGATTATTGCATGTTCGCATGTTTTAACATTTTGGTTATAAAAAAGATTTTTAATTACGTTTATAAGTAATATAAATTATATATAATACTATATAAGATATAATGTAAAAGTAAGATGCATAAAAGTTATTAATAAAAAAATTACTCATCACCCGCCTTTTATGTCTAAGGAAAGTTATCCGGAGGAAAGATTGTACCGTGAAGAGATAAGAATAATACTTTAATTCAGACGAAATAATGTTTGTTTTTTCAAAAGAAAAATCTCAAAGAAGCAAACGTGATAAGTTTTGGTGTAAATACTGTATCAGTTGTCGCTAACATATGTGCCGGATATATTATAAATTTCGCATTATGCTTCGGTCGTTTACGTAATCTCTGTTTCTCTCTTTTCCTGATATCGTTTGGGAATGAACGCACCAGTGAATTGGAGCGATAATAAGCGCGACAGTGCGAAGATACGTTAAATGCGATAATGCGCACTGTATTTATATTTTTTAATCTATGATAAGTCAAAGCTGACTGCAAATAACATTTCCTTGAAGCAGTTGTAAGCGTTTCTTGCGAAGTGCGCTTAACTGAAGAGATGCATCAGATTATTCCGTGACGTAGAAATGGAAAGTTTTTCTCCTTCTTTATGAAGACCACACTGGAGGAAGTGTTGGGATGTTTTCAGTACCATCGAAGATAACAACGTAGTTTCCTATTAATCACCTCTCTCAGTGATTCCCAACTTACGATAATGTCATTATTTTATATTCTATATGAGCCTCACAAAAAGACAAACAGATAAAATGTATTTTTTACAGATAATATTCTTTATTTTAGTATCAGAGAACATAGGTCACTTAACTTTTTAGGATTAGGAAATTTTGTAGCAAATGGAATTGATTTAGCTTCTGAAGTTCATATAAATGTATAGAGATTAGTATTAAACCATTATTTATTTATAGAGCAGTGTTGTGGAGATAATAATTAATATAAAAGCATATTGTAGTTATATTTCATTACATTGCTTAATTTATTGCAGATAATTACCTCAATTTGTATATACCTAAAGTGATATTAACAGATTATATCTTTCTACAATTCATACATTTGCATCGACGGGACTGTTCCATTTATGGAGTGTACTTTTTCACGATAAAAATATCTCTACTACACAATAAATTGTCGCTTATATATGTATCATTGTCGATTTATTTGGAAACACAGTATTATCGGAATATTATCGCAGGATGTATTTCCGCTAGAAATAGATAGAAGTAGATAGAAATATCGCTTCTTTAATATGATTGGTGCGAGAAAAATGACTACCGCTATTGCGTCGAGTATCATAGAAAAATAATAACTCGTAATAATATTATTAATGTAAAAAAATGTCAACGACGCGTGCTCTTCATAAGATGTAACAATAAGTCGAGAAGGATCGCTCGTAATACATAACTATACTAACTGAATAATACTAACTGAAATAAGTAAACAACGGTTTCATATTTTTTTACGCGAGATCATTCGCGTGGAGTAAATCGCGCGTACGTTGCGAACGAAATTGCCAGATTTAGCGGGCAATTTATTTCATTCACGAGCAAGTAGTTCGTCGGTTTTGCATCGCTTCTATAATGATAGTTAGCGCGGGCGCGCGCGCTGTGTATCTCTGCTCGTTATACGCGGGACTCTATTATTCCGCACTTTCCACCTAATTGCGCGCACTCGTAATCAGGTGCAGTCGCGCTGCGTTTGACGTCATCTCGTGGAAACTACAAAATAGTTGATTCAGAAAGTTGCACGCCCCGCTGGTCAGATTCAACTGGCGGTCACTGACAGTACATGACGCTCAAACGACTTGTCTCTCCGCTTGTTCCGTTCAATTATAGTCACGTTCAGCCTTGTACGCTCGACAGCTATATGTAAGGTCGGAAACCAGTTTTCGTACATTTTTCACCGGGACTGGACGATCGGCTTTTCATCAATAGCAGTCGGCCCGCAGCAGGTTGCGTTTTGTCCACAGACACTTTGCATTTCTACACTCTTTTTCTTCTTTTAACGTTAATATCGCATTCTCTCAACTACAAATAGAGTTGACTACTACTGCGAATGTATAGAGCTTCTTCGTCACATATCCTTGTGGTTGGACAACGGAGTGGTTTGCAAGGGTATTTCGTCGTACACGTGCTCTGTATTGTGGTCGAAGTTCGTTTGCAGGCGTATCAGAGTCGCTGGCGGTCGATCGTAATAACCCTCTTGCAATAGATCTATGATTGGAAATGAACAAAATCTATATAGAGTATATAGAAAATGATGAACCTAAGGAATATACGTGAGATCTAGCTGAAACAATATAATTTATTGTCACCTTGAACATTTTCGAAACAAGAAACAAAAGTAACTTTTAAATTTTTGAAGCTAGAAGCTTTTCCTCTCAGAGAAGAAACGTAACCATTATAAGAACACTTTTTTTTCTTAAGTAAAATAGCTTCGAAAATTTTCCTTCGATAAAATCACTTTTATTTCTTACTTCAAAGATATTTAAGGTGGCAATAGTTAATGACTCATTCTGTACATTGTGATTTTTAATTAAGATGAACCAAATTACAATATGTCAACTATTATTGGTCTTTTCGATTAAAAATATTTTCTTCTGTAATTATTATTCGATTTTGATTTCTGGGCTACACAATAAAAAATTTCATTAACTGAAAACTGAATGATGAACTGAATGGTTAACAGATGAAAAATTCGCTGACGAAAAATAATATCTTCGTTATTGTAGCCGAAAACATTCGTCTGAACATTCAGTTGCATCAAAATTCGGTTGAGGTAACTGAAAGCAATTGGCTAAGCAGAAATTTCCTACAGAGTTTTTCTACAATCGAGTTCTTCATCTAATCCCCAAGTAACAGAAAATTCATTTACACTTAACGGAGTTATTTTTTCGTATACATATATATATATATATTGCTTTTGTCGATTACGATAAAAAATTTAATATAATATCGCGAACTCACCGCGAAGATTACCAGAAATGCGGAGACCGATCGTAGCTGTGCCGTTAGCGTAAGTGTTCAACGATTCGATGCCATCGACCGTTAGTATTGTTTCCGATTCCGCATTGGCTGCATATATGGGATTGGCGCGAGTCGGTGGTGCTGAAATCACACACGCAATCAACTCGAGGCGCAAAACGTGTCGAGTTGCATTCAGTGATGCATACGAGGCTGATGGAGTAGATACGTGCAAAAGCAGCGGCACGCAAGCCGACCTGCGATCACACAAAGGATTCGATTTCGCACGAGCCGTAGTTCCCTTCGATCGTTATGGCGGTCAAGACTATCGTCGAGATAGCTGCACGGCTAGGAGGTATCGGGGTCAAGGACGCGGGGATTTCACCAAGGATCTGGTAACTGAGAGGAGAAGGTTACGTCGGCCGGGCATGATTCTCAGGTACTCACGGGGCAGACTAGAGTTCACCACTGTGGACATCCTTTCGCTGTTTGCGTTCTCGCGCTCTGGACTCTTGGTCTTCTCATCGTCGTAGATGGCAAGTCTGACAGTCTCGAACAGCTTGGACCGCATGTGGAGGACCATAACTACCGCGATCAAGGTCAGCCCAAGAGACACGATCGCAGCCACGACGATTAGAGCGATGTCTAATGGAATCGGCGTAGTCTGGGTATCATCTGTCGCGGCAACAAAAATGTCTACGTTCAGTTTTGCTTTCCTTAGCGTTTTGCGTCGTCGATAGTATAATAAACGGACACTTGTATCTTTTACGTGTTTCGGATAAATCTTAAAATGGTACCTTTGTGCACGGTTTTCACGTAATCGACTTTTGGCACGCTGACGCTCTCGTCTCTTTGAACATGCCTGAAGAACTCGTCCTTCGTTGCGAATTTTTGCCGATCCTTCTCGGTATCTCTTCTACGCTCGGGAACGGAAACCAGCACGATCACAGATCGGGCAGTCGTGAGAGGATCTTTTGCCCGCGTTTCGTTCGTTGTCGTCTTTTGGGAAGGAATCGCGATAGGTATTGTCGCTGCAGTCGTCGTGTCCGGGATGTAGTTCGCGTTGCTCCAATCGTCATCGATGTTCACGGCTGAAGCTGGATATTACAATATTAATTATGATTCATAGTTCTGTTGGTATTATCAATCAGAAATTATTGAGTTATACTACGCGTATTGAATATAAAAATAGAGTTGTAAAACATTCTCAGTATATTGAGCACACGTGAAATTAATTTCTTTTTGTCAGTTCCTGGCTCTTCAACAGTCGCCAATTTTCTATTGCTTAAAGAAGCGAGTGAATGAAAAACACACATCATACTTATATTATAGAATTATTGATTTCTATATAATAATAATAATAGACCAAAGTCAATTTTATACGCAATTCAATATTAGATGAGAGAAAATTATATTTTATTCTTGAAATATATAGAATATATTTCATAACGCATATCTCATAATGTCCGCTCTTTGCGCGACGCTAAAAAAAACCGTGAGAAATATGGATCGTTTAATGTTAGCCTCGATCACTTAGCAAATTTTCCTCGGCGCTTACGGGACTGTCTTTGAAGTTTGGATAGCTTGAAGAGTCACTTTTACATCTTCGAGCAAACAGTTGCGCAACTCGCTCACAAGTGCTTCCTTCGAGAAACGTATTCTTTCACCTTCCGTTTGGCGTCCGGTAGTCTCGCGCGGCACGGAGATAACTTCTGTATGCCTCGCGCTACTAATCCTGGGTGTTTGTACACGCTCGGTGGTAGAGCTTCGCAAATAACCGGGCGACGTTTGCCCGGCCAATGGAGCGCCATCGTCGTTGTCGTCGGCGCATCTTCCGGTTACGGCATCGCAATCATTATCTCGGTTCTGACATATGCATTCGTTTGCACAATTCGGGCCCCACTGACCGGTTGCGCAATGCTCTCTGCATCTGCGGAAGAAACGTGACCTCTGCAATATCATTCGGCCCGGGTACTCTGCTGCCTTCAAGCGTTTTCATTGATTATCTTCAAGTATCAATTATGGTATCTCTCGAACGCTTACCGAGGTCCTCGAAATCCCGGAGGACATCGGCATGTGCCGTTCGCAGGATCGCAATTGCCGTTTTCTCCGCAGTCGCACGTTTCCGCGCATCGTACGCCCCAGGATCCCGATAGACACTCTGCAACGTGTGAAATCAACGCGTTAACAGATGCCTTAAGGCAATTTATTCACCAGGTGTTTATTCTCAACGGCGCATTAAGGAAGCTGTATCCACAAGTTCACTGTTTTTATCGAACGAAATTACGTTTTTAGACATTTATTTCACTATCTAATCAATTTTGATTTGGATTTGGATGATACCTTGTCACGTTTCACTCAGTAGAATGCTACTCAAAGCACAAAACAGCAATTTTCTGGCTTACAATCGCCCATTATACAACAGCGGTGTAGTGAATACTATTCTTTCTTCAGTGTTTGCATTTCCTAACATTTATAATTGTAAAGTATTCATTTAGAATGAATTATTTTTTACACCGGAATAACGGTCATCTCTCTCTCTCTCTCTCTCTCTCTCTCTCTCTCTCTCTCTCTCT